AGTGAAGAGGATTCCTTGCACTGAGTGATTCTGCTCTGCAAACTTTAGTTACAAATTTCATTAGCCAACAGTTAAGACGATCAGCTGGCAACATGAGTCAGATTTGTTTCATATATGTCAGTCATTGTGTCTGATTACATAGCTTTATCCCTGCTCCGCAACTCCTCCCTTGACCAGAGGACAGAGGACTCTCTCATGTTGCCTTTTCTCTCATCCTCCTCTGTCCATTCTCCTGTGAATATCAATCCATCTATCTCTTTCTGTCAGCCCACTTGTCTGTGCCCTGCCTGTCTTTGCAGCGATCCCTCCTCAGGATGTGTCTTATTCTCAGCTCCCTTTGACAAGACATTGATCAACACCATGCATATCAGTCTGACAATTGTTGTATACACTTGCACAAACACACACATCCACCCATGCTGTGAAACACACTACAGACTGATTTTAAAGGAATAGTTCAACATTTTGGGAACGTTCATATATAGCTGGAGCCAGTAGCCTGTTAGATTTGCTTAGCATAATAGTTTGGCAATTAAATGTGTGTCTAAAATGGCAAATTGTCATCTTTGCCCTTCAGTTTTTGTTTGAATGAAACAAACCAGATTTGACTTGTTGATTGCTGTTACCATAATGTCATTTTTTCAGTAACAAGTAATAAAAATGTATTGGTGGAGGTGCTCGAGGTGTGAGGAGGTGGTTAGATAACACTCAACACTTTCTCATCCCAGGTCGTGAAATAGCGACTCGGCTTTGTCACGCCCCTCAGCGTCATATATAAAAGCACATTGTACCCTTTAGCATCTGCCTGCGATTACTTTTTAACACTTAGTCAGGAAGAGTTAGCCAACCAAGTACTTTGTTTGTTTAGGAAAAGATGATGTTAGATAAAGTTAAATTAAGCATGTCACATGACGCAAGTCACATGATCTGCATGTCATATTGTCATTGTTGGGGCAACAAGACTTGCACCCTGCACTCATCTGGGTGAAAGTTCTGCGCTGATTTGACCAATCCATTCCAGTCCCTTCCTAACACACATTTTGTTGCTCTTTCCACTATGTCACCTGACACGGATGGGTTACATTGGAGTTAGCTATAGGGGTATGGGCGGCCAGGCATGCCCTGGATGACCTCTGTGCCACCCCTTCATAATAATGAACGTAATTTGTTGTTATTAGAAGTAGCAGTCAGCGGCATAGTAAACCAGTATTTTCCAATAAGGACTGTCCATAGCAGTGGGAGGATGTAGGCAGCTGAATTTATTTGTGTCATAATGGTGTTATTGCTCCATAACAGACTAACTTTGGCACTGAATTGATTTTGTGTCATGTCAGAATTATTCTAGGGCTCACTGCGTTAATTGAACCTCTTCCTTTATTATGTTTTTGTTGTTTGTTTATTTGTTTGGTCTCGTGAAGATGCATAACTTCCTTCCTGTTCCTTAAATCCTATTCATAGCCAGAATTGCTGCATATTAATTGTTATGTGGCATCAAATAAAAAATAAATAAATAAAATATCCTCAGAATGATCTTTCAGATGTTGCCTACAGGCAACATATGCAGTAGGCCTGAATTTGACAGCGCAATTTAAAGTAGGCCTAATGTTTTATTTTGCACCCCCATCCTGTCGCCGGTGTGGATAAAAGCCTGTCACTTTGTGTCAGAGTTGTGCTACATAACAAAAGTAACGTAATGAGTAATGTAACTAATTATTTTTGCTGTTGAGGACATAGTTAAACGTACTACAAGAAGTTGTTAACTGGTTATATAATGTTTTGTTTAATACTGATGCCTTTATATGATCTACATAAACAAACAAGACAATCGACAAAAAGATGGTCTATTTCAGTTGTTCTTCTTAAAGGGATCCGGTCAGAATCCCCTCACAATCAAATAAAACGAGGTGGTGAAAACACAACCACTTTTGTCCACATGGGCAAATGGACATTCTTTATTGCTGCTTTAAGTAATGTAATTACTTTTTTGTTGACTGTTTTTCAAGTAACCTGCCCAATGTTGGTCATTGGTGAGCTTTAGAGGCACTGGTAGGTGGATTTTGTTCGACAGACAGAAGTTTCGACAGACTCAAGCTATCTGTTTCCAGTCTTTACACTATGACTAAACTAATCTACTGCTGGCTCCTGCTACCAAGGTCGCCACTTTTTGTCGAAAAGTGTTGGGGACATAAGGGCTCAGATAAAAAAATCATTTTTAAGAGGTTACAACAATCTTCCACATGCAATTTTAAGCAATGTAAATGGGGTTCAGTATGAGGTTAGAGTAGATTATTATGGTGGGTCGGGACTTTTTTTTACAAAGGCCATAGCCTTGGCTTGCTGCTTGTGGCTTTAACCATACTCAGCATAAAACGCACAATGCAGGGTTGAGTACCAAACGTGGTACTTTTGCTTTAAGGGTACCAACCAAATTATGACAGCATTACCGAGTATACCGATTCAAATTAAATCAGTCTGTATAAAATGTCTGAGCGCGTGACTGGTTGAGAAAGTAAGTTCTGTGTGAGTAGTGAGAGACAGAGATTGAGAGAGTGAGACTTTATGTCGCCTCTGCTGCCTGTTATAGTCACAGTTAGACTCTCATGCAGCATGTCCATTTCTTCACGCCAGGACAAACTAATTTATAACTAATAATAGCACGAAAAAAGTACCCTTAGAGTGCAGGGACAGACAGAGTCAGTAAGTAAGTACTGTAAGTCACCTTATTATGTAAAGTACCTTAAAATCCTGCAAATAATATGCAGTGATCTCAATGAAAGAACGTCTTTACGAGTTTTTCAATTGACAAAGTTTTTTCAGAGTTATCTTGAAGGTTTTTTTCCAATGACCTAGCTGGTTCACTCTACTACAAGAGCACTTGTCTATTAACAGAAAAAAAAAGCGGATGCAATGAAACTGTGGGGGCAAGATCAGCATTGCATTCGGGTTACCATAATTTTAGTGTGATGCGAAACAGAGTAGATTTAATGGGGAAGGAGTCAATAGCCAGTGTGGACGATAAAAGTGTGTGTTGTGTGTGCTTGTGTTGTGTGGTGTGTGTGTGGTTGGTGTGTAACTGGGGGGCCACAGGTGGAAAAGGGCAAGATCTCATCTAAAGGCTATGAAAGATTTAACAGCAGGAGAAGACAGGAATGACAATGTCTGTGATGGCACGCAACAAACCAAGTCCCCCAATTATATCTGGCATTTAAATGTCTGTCCTCTGTATTCTGCACTTTATGCACATCCCATCAAATCAATGAAATAGGGAATAACTATTTTTATGGACTTGATCTGTCACAAAAAAGATCTACAATATAATAATGTGTGTATTTGGGAAGTCTATAAAAACAAAGCAGTATGAAAACAATCTAATTCTGTACTGAACCTGGCATTATATTGATTTAACCATAGTTGTTATTATGTTAGTAGGGGTAAAGCTCCAGTCAACCACTGCAATAAACCCAGCTTTGATTCTCTGTAGCAAGCCCCAGGATGTTGTAGTCAATCACGCTGTACGAAGCGTTGTTGCATTGCGACGGATAGCGGGAAAGCCAACAAGGGCCAGCTGCACTGATTGGTGTAGCGTGAACTTACAGATGAAGTTTTCATACGGCAACAGTAGGGTTAGCAAGAGCAAGTGATGAGGACTACAGGAAACTAGGCGCTTTAAAATGGAAACAATTCCACACAAAACAGGGAGCGGGGAGCTCTGGAAGCCGAAGGGTAAGACTTACACAGCCTAACAACAACCTCCAGGGTTCAATTCAAGCTGGGGATTTAAGTTGCATGTCATACATTTCCTGTCTATCGCTTCTTCATCAGCTATCAAAATTGTGCCAATCTTCACATAATAATAGCTTGAAACTAGGCATTTTTAGATAGGATTAGTGACACTGGTTTAAATGCAAACCATTGAGCTGTCCCCTGTTGAATTCATATTGAGTCTGTTTCATTTACAGTCTTTTCAGATGTAGATTCACTAAAGCATATCAGTAAACAGGAGCCTGGCTGGATGATGGTCTGCTCAGCAGCATAATGCTGTCAGTTCATGTACCATGTCAATTATGTGTAGAAAAAACACTGTTGTACCATCAAACACTCAGCCTAGTTTGGCTTGCCTTGTAACAATGCAAAGCATGATTTTTCTTCTTCTCTGGTAATCCCCAGGACGTCACTCTTCTGTTCTGCAGCACACATGTCAGAGTCAGGGCTCCTCACCAGAGTGAGGGCTTAGTACTTCAAGCTTGTCATGGATCTCCAGATGGAAGCATTCAAGGCTTTTTCCCAGAAATTTGTATTGTTTATTTATTAGACTTAAACCCAGAGTTCCTCAGAGGACAGTAGCCAGCTGTTGCATTTTGGCTTTGTTCCACCGAGACGTGGAGGATTGTTATCCTCTTGATCGCTTGGCTGTCACTCTCTCTCTCTCT